AAATCTATAGTAAGGTGATTCGTGTAATGCTAGCAGAGGGAGGAAGACTTCTTCTTTGCCATCTCCCCAGGGAGCTGGTATCTAATTTTACAGTCCATTACTGAGGCACTTGCAGCAAAGACTCTCAGGGGACTATTTTTCTAAGAAGGTGCAAGACATGAGCTAGCAGAGGCTAACAATATAGAAAGCTACAGACAAGGTTTCGATAAAAGCATGAAGAATTGAAAATCAGAACAACCGAGGACAGTGGGATGTTGGCAGATTTGCAGGTAGAGGTTTGGGTGTATTTCTAATTATTTGATCCCAAGTCACAAAAACAACGGCTTCACTGTCTCACCACTCAGCCAACACATGCAAACCAGTACTTCTGTATATCTCTTATAAATACCAAACTGATTGTGTTACATTCTGATGTAGTTACTAGCTGAGGCTGACAAGGACGCTAGTCCCTCGTCAGGCAACATCGTCCCTTAATGGGACGGTGACTTGGGTGTTAAACATCTGAAGAAAAGAAGGGCTCTCACGCAGGGAATGAAGCCTGACCATGCTGGGAGAAATCTGCCCTCACTCCGCAGATTCCACGTTTTGTTTGAGGAGCTAGGATGTCTATATGTGCTCCCGGTGGCTAGGGGCTAAGAAAGCTGTCACCATATGGAGTCAGACCAGGGGGGCCAGATGGTCCAGGTTCACACAACTGTTGGTGTTTCGTTTATTACTCTGAGCATGTATTAAAGTTTAGTTAAATGTCCCTGTTGCCTCTCTGCTATGCGGCAAGCCATCAAAGGATAGTCTTGCTCGTTAAACATAGATAGAACCACAGTGAGAGAGTCATAGGGTACAGGTGATTCTCCCATTATGGAATGTTCTCCTTCCATTGCCGATCTTGGGGGAGCTGGATAGATTTGTATCCTTTGTCTCTATTAAGGATAAGTAAGCTTATTTATACCATCATTTTGGTTTTGATTCTGCCCTGCCTTTTGCTGGCTGTTTTCATAGTACTAATACTAGAAATCAATGACTTCTGGCACCCTTCTACAGTAGAGACATTGCCTTTAACTGATTTGAAATATACTCCTTGTAATTTCTACACCTTGACCTTTTACCTCTAAAGTAATAAAAAGTAAGTAGTATTTTTCTCCCATAAGAGCCCTTTAAATATTTCCTTGCTTCATCTACCCTTTTCAAGACATAAAATCCTAATCCTTTAACTCCTTTTCATATTGCTAGGAATTTAAGAATCCCCGAAGTTCTATGACCCTCTAAAATTGTGGTGTATAGAAATAAAAGTAAACATTTATTTTTTAAAATATTTTATGTATTTTAAAAACAGGATTGTTTTTGACCCAGAGAGAGAGCACAAGCAGGAGGAACGGCAGGCAGATGGAAAGGGAGAAAGGAAGGAAGGAAGAAAAGGAAAGGAAGGGGCACCTGGGTGGCTCAGTGGGTTAAAGTCTCTGCCTTCGGTTCAGGTCATGATCTCAGGTCCTGGGATTGAGCCCCTCATCGGGCTCTCTGCTCAGCAGGGAGCCAGCTTCCCCCCTCTCTCTCTCCGCCTGCCTCTCTGCCTACTTGTGATCTCTCTCTGTCAAATAAATAAATAAAATCTTCAGAAGGTATTAACTTGATCCGTATGTATCAACAAGTATATATCTCAAAACACTGCATTTAGAAAAAAAAAAATACATAGCAATTCCTCCTGAACACCTCATGTGTTAACTAGTCTGAGGGTTTTACCTGCATTAAGTCATTTAATCCTCAGAACTACCCTTTGAAACTGATGAGATTATTATTAAGAGGAACTGACGTACAGAGAAGTCAACGATTTTCCCAAAGCCACAGCTGTTTCTCCAGAGTCCGTGTTTTTGACGGATCTACTGAACTGACACAAAGAGGCTGCAGAACAGCAAGCACAGCCCACTACTTGCCAATATCATTATTATGTGTTAAAGGACTGAAATATAGGAAAAAATATACTAAACTCACAATAAGTCTGCCTTGGCCAGGAAGTTCACAGCATGACAGGATTGAGGGAGACCAGAAAGCACTACAGCAACATCTTTAAAGTTGTGTTTCTTTTTTAAGAAACAGTACATTAATTTGTAATTTTTGAAACCATAATCGTACATGAAAGAAAATGAAAGTGAACTTGTTGAACTATTAACAGTGGCTGATGTGGATGAGGGAAATATGGGTAGTTATTTTTCTTGCACTTTGGTACATGTTTCAATTTGAAGGAAAGAAGGAGTACCTAGTGACAGATCCATTTCCCTCAAAGAATAGGAGGATGGGGTCATGATATTTGTATTAAAAAAAAAAAAAAACAGACTCCAGAAGTATTCAGATGTACTGGGACAAGTGTATCTGGCAGAGGTGTGGGGTGCCAGAGAGAGCTCATGGCTGGCAAATTCAGAATCCCCTCACCAGCATATATTAGCTGTGTGACCTTGAACAAATGACTCAGCCTCTCAGAACCACTTCCTTCACACAAAATATAGTAATACCACCTCCACCAGGTTGAATGGGGACCAAATCAAGTATCCTCTGTGCCTGCTTTATCAGGTACTATGGTTCTGCAGACACCAGAATTCGATTTTCTATCTTCCCTCAACACTTCGAATAAATGTAACTTAACTCTGTATTTTGCCAGTCTGTTAAGGGTAGAAGGGATGCTGTTCTATACAAGGTCTAGGGCAACTTCTGAAATATATTTGGAAAAAAATGCAACACACACTAACAAGAAACCCTTCACCAATCCCGATACAGCGACCTCTGTTTCCTCCTCTGTGAATGTGTATAAAAATGCCACTTACTGACCAGAGCAGTTGAGTTTTGAATAATGCTTTTAAAAATGTTCACCCAGAGTACACACACACACACACACACACACACACACACCCCCCCTCTGGGTGCATTTTATCTAGTCCTGGTAATTTAGTTACTTGTGGTTTATTTATTAGGTTGAAAACATCCTGTTAATTTACTATTATTTAATTTATTAACTGATTAAGGCCTGACCTCTCAAGGGGAAAATGCTGATTAACTGTATAATACAAAGGCTAAGATGTTTCATAGGAGCGTCTTACAGATACATTCTTCCTTCTGAATAGTTCCTCGTTCAGAGAGTCCTCTGTTTCTCTTTGTGCTCATTGTTTGCTCTCATTCAGGCAAATGTTCCCCTACCCACCCCCACCTCCTTTGGAAAGCCAAGTTCAACATTTTTAAAAACAGACTTTATTTTTTAGATAGATTTTAGATTTATAGAGAAATTAAGAGGATAGTATGAAAAATTTCCATATACTCTGCACCCAGTTTCCCTATTACTAACATCTTATGTTAGTATGGAATATAGGTTATAATTAATGCACTAATATTGATGCATTTTCAAAAAATAAAGGCCATCCTGTACTTGAATTTTTTTTAGTTCATATCTAATGTCCTTTTTCTGTACTAAGCTCCCATTCTAGACCCACATTACATTTAGGTGTTATATCCCTTTAGGCTCCTCCCTTGACTGTGACAATTCCTCAGACACTTCTTGTTTTTGATGACCTTGATAGTCATAGTTTTGAGGAATATGGGTCACGTATTTAGTAGAATGTCCCTTACTTGGAACTTGTCTGATGTTTTTCTCATAACTAGACTGGGATTATGGTTTCAGGGGAGGAAGACCACAAAGGTAAAATACCATTTTCATCAAGTCATATTGAGGGTTCATCTTCTTACGTGAGTCATCACTGTTGATATTGACCTTCATCGCCTGGCTGAGCTACTGTTTGTTGGAGTCTCCACCCCCTTTCCATCCTATCCTATTCGGAAAAAAGTCATGCTGTGCCATCCATACTTAAAGAGTGGGGAGTGATGCTCTTCTTTGAGTATAGAACATCTACTTAAATTATTTAGAACTCTTCTGCATGGGAGATGTGTCTTTTCTCCATTGATTTGTGTATTCAGTCACCAGATACAATTTTTTAAAAAGATTTATTTATTTATTTGAGAGAGAGAGAGAGACAGCACATGCATGAGCAGGAGGTGGGGGAGAGATCAGAGGGAGGAGAGAGAAACCCAAGCAGACTCTGCCCTGAGCCCAACCTGGGATGCCATCTCACGACCCTGAGATCAGGACCCCAACTGAAACCAAGAGTCAGATGCTTAACCGACTATGCTACACAGGTACACCATGAGATATAATTTTATTAAAGAACTTGGGGTAAAAATTAATTGTTTCAAAGATATTCCTTCCTAAAATCCAGGACCAAAAAGAATGAAGCTTAATTTGCTTTGCTTCTATTAAATTTAATTTCATTCTTTTTTTTTAATTTTTTTTTATTTTATTTTTTATAAACATATAATATATTTTTATCCCCAGGGGTACAGGTCTGTGAATCGCCAGGTTTACACACTTCACAGCACTCACCATAGCACATACCCTCCCCAATGTCCATAATCCCCCGCCCAACCCCCCTCCCCCCATTAACCCTCAGTTTGTTTTGTGAGATTGAGTCACTTATGGTTTGTCTCCCTCTCAATCCCATCTTTTAATTTCATTCTTAACTGAACATTAAATATGTATAAAACTGGTCTGTAGAGGACATAAGGCTGACTGAGCTAAGATTCCTTTCCTGAAAAAACAGGCCCAGACAGAAAATGTATATATATAACAAGGCAGATAAGTACTATAGTTAAAAGTAAAGTGCTTTGGGAGCACTGAGAAGATAGTAACTAATTCAGGGAGAGCTTGATAAAAAAAAGTCTGAAACCAGGACCTGCTTTCTGTGCATATAATCAGTGATTCTGAATGATTCCGATTATAAATAGAGAGCAGCCCAGATAGAATGGAAGGCTTCACTAAAGTCACACAGTTGGTTAATGCCAGCGTCTGAGCTGAAAATGAATTCTTCCAGTTCTGGATCCCATGTTCCTCTTGCTACATTTTGTTAGAAAACAGCCCAGAAGTCTGCTATGCATTATCCAAGATGGAAATGGAATGGCATGGAAATTACCTCAAATAAGCGTAAGACTTTGGCCAGGGCACCAACTTCTTCTTTGAGTGAGAAGATCAGTGATATGGCACCATTTTGACTGGAGTTGTCTTCAATATAGCTTGTTTCCTAAAAGATGAAGTGTTCTTGGTTAAAATACTTTTCTGTGAAACCTCCAAGGAAGAGGCTGGCATGATCTCTCTCTTCTAGTCAAGGCTTAGAATACAGTAAGCTACATATATTCTACATAGAAATATATAATTTCTGATGGAAAATAAGGAAGTCAAGGAAAGTGATATTTTCAATAATGCTCTTAGGTCAGTATTCAATTTTAGAAACCTTTAATTATTTACTGACATCACCAGTCATCCTATAGCTTCAAGACCTTTTAATGAGCACCTGCCAAGTGCTGGACACTATTAGGGCCCTGAGAGCCAAAAGTGAGTAAGACAATGCCCCATCCTTCAGGAGCTCAATATTTGGCTTAACAGACACATAAACCACACAAAGATCCTTAGAGGTAGTATAATACAGTTCAAAAAGTATTCAGGAAAACAATGAAAAATATGGTGTGGAATGTACTAAAAATGGGTGTTTGAGACCAAAGACCTGGGTTGAAATTCTCTGTCTTCCAGTTACCAGATCAAACAGTCTAGGCAGATAGCTTGACCTTCTAAGTTTCCTCATCTGGAAAATCTTTGTAATCATAAGCTCTGTCAAAGCAGTATTCACATAATGAAAAAAAACTAAAAACATAAAACAGTTTACATATAAAAATGAAGGAAATATATATACACAAGAATTACTTCTTGGCCTTTGGCAAAGATCTCAAGGAAGCATCACACTCAGGAAACATTGTTCTGTATGCTGGGATCCAAGTTATCCAATTAAAGTCACAAAATACATAAAAGTAATACAAATAATCTGTTGGAAGATGGACATCCTACACTACAAAGCAAATTATGACAAGGATCTAGCACTTTCTACATGCACGTGACAGCAAACTAAGGTGGGATTAGGGTTGGTATTGCAGGGTTTGCTGCAGACTTTAAAAATTGTATAGTCAAGTTTTACAGCAATATATAAACCTCCATATGTGCCCACAAATCAATAGTATATACCTAAAACTAAGAAGAAGAACCCGTGCAGAACAATTACTCTCTTGTAAGAAAGCTGATGAAATCAGTGGAATAGATGTTACATCAGCTCAGTAAGAAGGCTGTGTTGGACGGCTCTCCCAGTGACTCAGCATAATAAGTCTTGCATGAAAATTGATGGCCCCAGGATGAAATTCTTCTCATTCAGAAAGTTCAGATTTTCACAGAACCACACCCAAAACAGAGGTGGGGGGCAAGAACCAAAATTATCAGCAGGTGTAGTTAGATGGAGCTTCACATGACTTGAAGATTGAACTATTCTATATCCCTAAATGGACCGTGATTTTCTCTTTCTTGAAAAAAAGCTTTTTCTTTTTAAAAAATTCCAGTATAGTTAATCTATCATTTCTTAAGAGCCTGTAATATCCCAGGCATTATAATAAGCACTTGATTTGGATTATCTCATTTAATTTTGATACAATTTAGGAGGCTTTACTATCCACCGAGTGTCAGCTTTTATTGACAATAAAATGAAGCCTTAGGGAAGGTAAGTAATTGTCCACAGTTATGCAGTCAGCAATGGAGCCATGGTAGGACCTCACATCATCTGACCCCAGCCTATGTCCACCACTCACAGCTTCTTCTCGCAGGACTATGTCCTGCCTCTCCCTCTTTTAAACCCTACCAGAGATATGCAGAGGAGTCTCTGACGTTAGTCTTCTTCCTCCCAGAGAACATTAAGCCCTTAGTCCTTTCTGGTTTCCTCGAAAAGATGAAAGATTTCCATTTCTGGTTCAATTGGCAACATTCTCTTGTGTTGGCCTCCAAGAAAAGTTACACATTCCAGATAGACCTCAACAGACACCACCTATGACTGAGGCAATTCAGGCTTGAACGCACCCTTCCTCAAGATTCCCATCACCACCACCTTTCTGCTCCTGTAGGTCCGAGTCCTATCTGACCTTCTCCAGAAATGACCCTTGGGATTATGTCCTCCTTTTGTTCCTACTGCTACCATGCTAATCCAGCTTTTAGTGATCTATATCGATCTGGCCCTAAGAGACTTTTGCTTGTGTCCTCCTTCTACTCAGAATTCTTCAAAGGCTCCCCATGGCCAGCAGGATAAAATATCTCTTTCTGATATACAGGAGTATCTTGAGACCTCATCTCCAGAGGCCCGCCCACAGGAACCACCTTGCCAGCAAACGGGTTTTCTCCTTGTCTTTTCAGCTTCTCATTAAAGCAAATGCCATGCACCACTCTGCCTCGTCCCTTTTCAAATATCTTAGCCTGCCTCAAAAGCTCTCTTTGGGTCTCACTTCTGCCAGGAGACCTTTGTATTCCCCAGCTGAGGAGAACAATCCCTCCAGGTTCTATGCATTCTATTTGGCTTCTGATGCCCACATAGGACTTGACTCGCAGAGCTGGCCCTGTTTTTAGGGTTCATCTAGTTCCTCCCCCTTATTTTCCCTATTTCTTGTAGACCATTTATTCAATACCTCTCTCAACAGCCTACTCTTACCCATGCCTGTCCTTTTCACTTTCTCCCCATACACTTTCTAGATCAGAGATTTTCAAAGAGTGTTCTTTGTTTCTCCACTTCAAAATTACCTGGGGATTCCTTGTTCAAGAGCAGATTCCGAGGCTTCACCCTAACCTATTAAATTTGAGTATCTGAGGTAGGCTCTTGGAACCCACATCTTCAAAAGATCCCAGATGATTCTTAACCACAAAAGATTTTGAAGCCACTGATAAATGCACAGCATATTTTTTTAATTGTGACTTTTCCCAAATATGTCTGCAAACTCACATTTACCATATGACAAGGTACTACTTTTATTGTTATTAATATTAATAATAGGACTTGCCATTGAATGAATACCCACTACGTGCCAGGAGCCATATTGGTGCTTTTTATAGTTAATAGACATCATCATTGGCAGCAACTAGCACTGTTAACAAGAGTTCACATGTAATCGGTTCATGGAGTCCTCACAATAGCACCATGAAGTAGGTGCTATTATTTTGCAAGTGAAGGAATAGACTCTGCTAGGTTCAGTGAACTGTCCAAAGACACCCAGCTAATGAGTAGCAGAGCTTGGATTCCAACAATTCCACAATCCGTATTCTGCCTCCCAGTGACAGACCAAATGAGACAACAGCTCCCTTTTTCCAAAACTTGAGGGGACTTAAATGAAAAGAAGCTCATGGATGTTTGTGATATGGTGTGGCCTTGGGTGGATCCTGATTCCAGCCTTGCTATGTTCATCCAGCATGGGACCTTGGGCAAATCTCTCCCAGAATATATTTTTATTGGCTCGTAATCTATACCTTATTTGCTTTCAAAAGGCATGTGAGTTGGCTTAGAAATATGTACACCCAGGGTGGGTAAAGGTAGAGAAGTAACTCAGAAACTAGATCGGAAGAAATAGGGCAGGGAAAATGAACTTTACTATCACCCAAGAGAAAGAATTTTGATCATCGGGCAATCCATTTAACAGGAGAAATACATTCCCTATGGTTGTGTCTAATAAATATACTCTGTTATCTTTGGAAAAGAGCATTTTGAAAATTAGGGACAAAATTTAGCCAGGTATTCCTTTTGATCTTAGTGCTTTTTGGAGCCATGGTAGGAGGTTTCTATTTGCACATGGAATTATATGCATAGACGTCCACAGTGGAAGACAACCAAAATCAAGATGTGGACATCCTTTCATGGACACGCTATAGCTCTATATTCCAGGGTGTCTCTGCAGGAGGAGGCAGTGTGGGAGAGGGGTGCCCCGGGGAGTTGGAAGTGAGATCTGTGTTTGAACCCTGGTTTCACCATTTAGAGCTCTGATTTCTGAGTTTCCCTCATCTTGTATTCCACTGCCCCCATTCTATTTTTCTTCACAGCTCTTTTCTCTACATGAAATTCGTGTCCATCTCATTCGTTTTTGTATTGTTTTTCTTACCCACTAGAATATGTTTTACCGGCATAGAAACTCTGCTGTGCCTGGCACATAGTAGGGGCACAGCAAGTCTCCTGGGTGAATGAATGAACCAAACATCTATTGCAGGGTTGTCATGCCTGTTGTGTGTGTAGATCACATAACCTATCACATGCTCTCCAGCCTTGTATCAGAATTACATCCAGCATGGGCTGTTCATCTGGGTCAGGAGATTTGAGAAGGCATAAACCAAGTCTTTTTTGCAGACTGTCAGGAATCCTAAAGACTATTCTAGTCCAAACCGCCCTCCCCACCACCACCCCAGTTTTACAGATACCAAACTGAGCGTCCTCCTCCTAGTTAGGTGACTTCCCCACTACACAACTTCAGTAAACAAAAAAACCAGAGCTCACACCTCCTCACTCCATGTCCAACACCCCTCCATGGTGTAGCTGTACCAAGCACTATGCTTGACTCGTGCTTATCTCTCTTGCCAGTGTTCCAGACACATTTTGTCAAGCAAACAAATAAGTTCTGGCTAGACACTATGCTCCAGGAACTGTGCTAAGAGCTTTACAGACACTAGTTCATTGAATTCTCATCCCAACCCAAGGGTATGGGTATTTTTATTCCAATTTTTCAAATGGACAAACCTGAAGCTTTACAAAGTTTAACATCTTGCTTTCAATGCAAAGGTATTACCAGGCCTGCTCTAAACCCTCCTCTCTATCCCCAGTCATCAAGAGTAACAATCTGTGGTTCTCAATCTTCTAACTATTCTAGAAATAAAGCTTTAAGTTCTCCCTAACCAGATTGCTGTCCCACTTCCTCCATTGCCAATGGCACTGGAAATAAATGATGACAGAGCCAGGATCTGTTCTGGGATCTGTCTGACACCCATACTATCCCTCCTCAGCACAAAGTTCTGTTTACCAAGCACTGCAAACCTTTTTCAAAGGAAAATTTTCTCACTGGACTCAAAAAAAAAAAAAAAAAAAAAAAAGCCAGTTCACAGTTCTGTGGTCTCTCTAGCTATAATAAAATATCAACCATGCTCTCCTCTCCAGCCTGTCTGTTCTCCAGATGGCTCTCACTAATCCTGCAGATGACACATGTCTGTAAAGTCGTGTTATCTCCCAGGGCTGGGCTTTAAGTCTGAACCCTAGAGCCTAGGAGTGTGATAAGTCAATTAAAGAATGTATTCTGCGATTTTTCACCTCAAGAGAAAGGCAACAAATCCCGAACAGAATGCACCCTGAGCATTATTCCCATCCCAAGTCACGTCTAGGGTTCTCTCACATTCCCAGTCCAGGGCTAAGCCTTGTTCATTTTCCTCTCTGTTTAATTTTCTCTTTCCCCAGGTCTGAGTAAGACTGAGACTTCCTCAAGCCTCACTTTCTCCCAATGCTGAAAAAAAGGATTCAAATTTCTTACAATTTTGCCATGTTGATAGGTGGCTGAGAGCACTTCATACATATCACAGTAAAGCAGATCTAGAAGAATCCCATCTCCCATTCCAGATCATTACAAACCATCCACTTCAGGCTAGGAAAGAGAAAGCAGGCAACAGAGAGGAACAGTGACTTGTCCAAAGACACACAGCTGATTGGGGGCAGCTCTGAAAGCCAGATCCCCGACCCCTAAACAGCACTCTTTCCCTGAAAGCCGCATAGGACAGATGTCCCTCTCGAGGGAAGAGCTGTCGAGGACCTGTGTTATCTGTTGCCTTCTCAGACATTTTCATCACCTTCAAATAAGTTCAGATTTCTCCATGAGTTTAAGGGAGTAGGAAACATCAACATTCCTCAGACCCTTTACCTCTAGGGACCAAATTCCCCTGCCTGAGTGCTGGGCAGCGTGCAGCCCGGCCAACTCTGGCTCACCTGTCCCTCAGAGAGTTTCCTGCCAGGGCTTCCGTTCTCCAGGACCACAGCCGACATGCTGGCTCCCCTCGTGAGTGAGATCTCTGGTCGGTGGCAGGCAGTTTTGCAAACAGCACGTGCTGCTGAGGTTTTTAACCTGGCGTTGGGAGGGGAGGACAGATTCCAAGGATGTCCCCTGTGAGTACAGGCCACAGTAATGCCCCCGCCCCCGGTAGGCGTTGTCCTGACGCAGTAGACTCCAGGTAACCCAGGGGCCCCTACCAAGGGGAAGGTGTAGCTGACGCCTGCAGGCTGGACTTGGTTGCAGCCCCAGAATGGAGCCTGGGGCTACGTGTGCACTGGGGATTAAGCAGGGTTGGCAAGTCCTGGACTCAAGAGCACGGGAAGCAGTTTCTCTGCAGTGCAAATAACCCCGAGATCTGCTGATGAAAAAATTTTAAGAAATCATCCTTTCCTCCCCCACCCACCTCCCCATGGGAGCAGAGCTGGAATCCTGATTTAGATTTCGATCAGGGGTCAGGGGCAGGGTCCTTTCTATTAACCATTAAGCCAACTACCTTTCTGTGCTTTGACTTTAGAAAGTTACATAGAGGTAGCATTGTGAACGCTGAGCACAGCAATAAAAAGCAAAGGTAAGAAGAACACAAGCTGGGTTGCAATGCACTGACACGTCCTCGAGCTGTTTACACAACTGCTGAGAGCGTAGAAGAGACAGAGGTAGAGCCACCTTGCCAGGAACTTGGGAGAATATGAATAAGAATGAGGTCATGCATTGAACATTTAGTACAGTTCTTGCCATATAGCTGAACAATCAATAAAGAGAAGGTACCGTTTAAAAGGATGGGACAACCAGTAATCACTGAAGACCTCTCCTGTGGGCCAGGCAGTGTTCCAGGCGTCGAGGAGCAAGCAGTGAATGAAGTAGAGGATATTGCCTCCCCGGCCAGCCTGCTGTTCTGTGTGCAAGACAGAAAATAAATTAATAAATTTAGTCAGAGCTAAGCTTTTGGAAGAAAATGAAACGGGGAGAGGCAAGGACTGAGCTGGTGGGCACTGAAGAGTGGACTTCTTCAAACAGGTAGGAAGATGTCCTTCCCTCCTGTATTTTCAGATTGGGAATCTGAGATGAAGATTCATTGCCAGTAGACAATGGGTGGGGTGGGGGGGGAGAGTAGGGGGAGGACACTGCAAAGTCAGAGGTTCAGAAAAAAATGTGAAAAAATCAGGGGCATCAAGGCATCAAAGCCTTGAGGGCCTGCCTAATATTTACCCAGGACAGAAAACAAGCCAATAACGGAGGTTGCTCGAAATCCACCCCTTCCCCTCCCACAATTCTCTGATGGAGTAACCAAGCATCGCCAAAGGGAGGAAAATATTCTCATAGTTGAGATTCAAAACAAATGGACTAACTCCCAGTTCCACCACTGATGAGCTATGTAGCTTGGTCAAATTCATGCCTCAGTTTCTTAATCTTTAAAATAGGGATTTTAAGGATTATTGTGTAGGATTCCTTGAGCCTCTATGATGTGCCGGGCTTTCTATTGACTGCTAAGAATATAGACATAACTAAGTCTAATTTCTGTCTAAAAGGAATCCTTGAGTGTCTGATTCATATGTCCTGTGGTAATTGGAAGATCCATGCTGTTGAACACAGACGAGCAAACCCTGACCTCCACCCTCAGGAGAAATTGTATCCTTTAACTAACTCCAGTAGTTTTTCATTTTTGTTTTTTTAGTGTAGCAGACCTGAAATAAAGAGTTTCCTTGAGCCCCAGGACTGCCTGACAAACACCGTTCATCCCATGCTATCACTGTCATACTGAGAACAATGGACAGGACAGCACCTGCTCTCTAAGCTCATGCAGTAAATAAAGGCAAACAATGACAGCTACTTATTTACATGCACACTGTATGCTGGGTGCCGCGCCAACCTCTCCACACACATGATTTCATTTATTCTGCTCAACAGCACCATGACCGATGCACCCCTTCACAGATAAGGAAAGTGAGATCCACGTAGTTTAAATAAGTAGTCCAAAATTGAACTACATTTCACCCAATTCCAAGACACTGGCTCTTAAGTATTCTTTTCTCCCTCTTTGAGACATAAAACAAGAGTGATTTTTGGAACAGCAAAAATAATAGCACATCTCTTTTCTCCTCACACCAGCAAAAAATGGAATTATTTATCCAATCTCACATAAAAATGCCCCAGACCTGGGTTGGGAGCAGAGCACACTTGATTTTCAGATACCCCAGAGAAAAACACTGATAATTTTTTTTTTAATTATTCCAGCAAAAAGGGAAAGTTTCTCTACGCAGTAAGATAAAAACTCTCATTGCTTATGATAGAAATTTTGTAGACATTATTTAAATTATCTTTTTGTCTAATTAGATGGAATATAATGTGTTGGTCTTACTAGTGAGGGCTGTGCCGAGTCCTAAGAAAATTGCACCAGACCCCAGTACAAATCTAGAAGGAGCATCCGAGAATGCAACCTGCAGAACACTGAGGTATTGTGAATGGCCACACAGACTGGCACCATGTTGCAAGTGGTGTAGCTGGTACACTTAGAGCTGACCTTCACTGATTTGGAAGGTGAAGATTTCCCAACTACGGCAGGTTATCAAGCAATCTCTTTTCATTTAACCTCATTTGTGGAGGATCGAGTTAATCATAATCCATGATTTCATGGCACGTAATCAAAACCTACAAGATCCTTTCTTGGTTTATTTATTCATTCTCTTTTATCTTTATTCCCTACCTCCATTCCCTCCTCCCAGAGGTGATATCCCTAAAACTTTTAATACTCAGCCTTGGATTTTTAAAATGCCTGGATATATTAGTGCATGTGTGTACTTTCCATGGATGTGAGTGATGTTGTAGTATAGTTTTACTATAGAATGTAGATGTAATATAGATTTCATATTTTCTAACTTTTTCTTTCACCATATTCTTAGGATAGAACCATGTTATGAATGTACATCTAGTTCTTTGCTTTCCTACCGGGTAGAGTCTCTCCAGTGTGTATCTACCACATTTGACTCCAATGTTCCCCTAGGCTGCTTCTAACTCTCCCCATCCCAAACAATTCTGCAATAAACACCTTCATACTTGTTCCCTTAGAGACCTGTGTGAGAATTTGTCTTGGATAGAAGGTTGGGATCCTGAATCATAGGGAACATGCATTCTTAACTGCACAAACTACTATCAGATTGCCCATTAGAATGGCTTATACTAATCCACACCCTTATCAAAAAGGCCAAATAGTTCCTGTTGCTGGAGATCCCCAATATCTGGCATTTTTCCAAATGTCTGATTTTTTGCCAATCCGATCAGTTTGAAGAAGTATGCCCTTGTTGTTTGTGTTTTGCATTTTTCTTAGACAACTGGGTTTGAGCATCTCTTTAAAGATTAATGCCACTGAGATTTCCCATGCTGTGAATAGTTCATTATATCCTTTGCCTATGTTTCTATTGGTATTCCTGTTTCTCCATGTTGACTTGCAGGAATAATTTGTGTCGTCCAGATATTAGCACTGGGCCTTTCTCAGACACTAACCTATCTATCCTAATAGATCACTGCCAGTTTACTGTCAACTGGTGTTCTTCCTTGAGGGAAAAAAAAAAAAAGAGATAATTCTGATATAATAAAAATTTATCTTTTAAAATTTGGGGGGGGGGACATCTATTTAAGAAGTCCTTTTCATCCCCAAGTTACAAAGGTATTCTCTTCTTCCATCAGTATTAGTTTTATCTTTCATACCTGGATCTTTAGTGTATCTGCATCTTTTTTGCGGATGGGATACAATAATGACCCAGGTTTTCTTTTCTCTCTTTCCTCTCTTCATGTCGTGAGTCAGCTTTTGAACAACACTGGCAAAGACTTTCCCTCACTGAGGTTTTTTGTCAGAATTTTCTGACTTGAGATGAAATGGTCTCAGAGATACACAGTAAGAGATACCCCTTTGACTTCTGGTACCATATGTGCTGAGTGAAATAGGTCAAGCAGAGAGAGTCAATTATCATATGGTTTTGCTTATTTGTGGAGCAAAAGGAATAACATGGAGGACATGGGGAGATGGAGAGAAATGAGTCGGGGGAAATTGGAGGGGGAGAGAAACCGTGAGAGACTGTGGACTCTGAGAAACAAACTGAAGGTTTTGGGGGGAGGGGAATGGGAGGTTGGGTGAACCTGGTGGTGGGTATTATGGAGGGCATGTATTGCGTGGAGCACTGGGTGTGGTGCATAAACAATGAATCTTGAACACTGAAAAGAAATAAAAAATAAATAAATTTTTTAAAAAAACTAATGATGTATTTTATGGTGACTAACATAACACAATAAAAATTTTTTTAAAAAAATTAAAAAATCTCTTAAAGAAACTGAAAACATCGGTTGTCTTTGCGGAAGAGACTCAGGTGCCTGAAAGATAAGGGAGTGTGAGAAAATTTTCACTATTTATGTTTTAACTTTTTTATTTTTAATTTACATGAATATTTAACTCTTGAAAAATAAATAAATGATATAAAAATTATATCTAAATAAAAAAATTGAATGACTTAGAGATTACCAGTTTCTCAGGCAGTTCAGATTGCTATACCAAATATACTATAGACTGGGAGATTTAAACAACAAATATTTATTTCTCACAGTTGTGGAGGCTGCTGAATCCAAGACCAAGTGCTGGCAGATCCACCATTGGGTGAGGACTCCCTCTCTGGTTTGCAGATGGTCATCTTTTCATGATGGAGAACAGAGAGAGGAAGCAAGCTCTCTCAAGTCTCTACTTGGAAGGGCACTAACCCCATTCATAAAGGCTCCACCCTTATGACCTAATTACCTTCCAAAGTCCTCAAATACCATCACACTGGGGATTAAACCTCCAATATAGAAATTTGGAGGGGTGGAGACACAAATATTTCAGTCCATATAACCAGAAAATGAATAAAAATAGAAAGGAAAACTTTCAAATCAACAAAAGAAAAACTGACCTATTCCTCCAGTAGAAGGTTAAAAAGGAGAAAATGAAATAAATATAAAGTGTGGGAAGTGGAAAATATGAAATAAAATGGCAGAAATATGTACTAGCATAAAAGTCTTTATAATAAAATTCATAGGCTAAACTTACTAATAAAAAGAAATTATTAGATTAAATTAAAATACAAGTTATGTGGTGAACACTGGGTGTTATATGTAACTAATGAATTGTTGA